GATTTAAATAGAACCATCCTCTGTACTTTCATACCTGTGGGAACCACCATTTGCCAGGAAAATGAAATAAGCTTAACCTATGTGCAAACCCTGCACATATTGAAAAAATATTTTGTCTGTAAAGGATTAAAGTAGTTATTTAACGATTATTTTCAGTATCTCATCTTCAAGACTATAATTCACAACTGAAACACATTTCTATGTGGATTGTCCGAATAATTGAGATTACATAAGTAAATATCGATTGAATCCAACTGTTCGTCATCTGTACAGTTCTCTTGACTGACTACCATCTGATAATGATTCCAATCAACTGATTAAATGCGCTAGACTAATATTTTTCGATGTGCGAGTTAAAAAGAATATAAATACATAAGCTTTACAGCATGAACCAGTGTGAAAGGTGAATGGATGATCCTAAACTGGTTACTCGAGATTTCATATATATATTTTACTCTATCTCGTTAATAAATCAGCTAACGCATTCTGAACTTCATGAAATGCATATTCAGTCACTTGTGATGTACACAGTGAGAGTTCCCTGATAGACATTAATTTATTTAACCAATATGCATCTAATTTAACACACTTCCTTAGTTTTTGTTGTTTTCCACATCATTATGATAAAATTACTTCTTTTCCTGTCTGTGAAATTGATGTTATCTTGTTGTCAATATTATAACAAAAAAACTTCTTCAATTTAATGGATATATCACGCAGTGAAATAGTATCATTAACTGAATGAAGCATCAAACACAATTTATTCTTCATAATCATATGAGTTGTAACTGTACAACTTCGAAACTCAACGTTTATAGTTCTCTTTCCTCCTTACCATTTGTCGTGAGGGTAGTATTATTTTCTAGGTGGCCGGGGACAGATGTTGAATCATTCCTACTGCACGTATATTCAGTTGGCTAGATAAATATACCTTCAGTTATAAATCTCTCCCTCCTCCTTATATATAATCATATACCCTTGCATTCGGAGTGGAACACAGGGATTCAACAACATGTCTCCACTTTGTTCTGTTTTCACCAAAACTCTTTAATCTCAAATCTCGTTGTTTATGCTGGCTGAGTACAGGACATTTCCAAACTGGGTTCAGGTTGATGCAGGTGTGAGTATCTTGCCCTCCCGATTCCGAATGACTGACTGGCTGGTTGGCAAGCTGGCTGGCTGACTGTCTTTGACATCTTCATCTGTTCTGACTGCCTGTAGTTGAAACGATGCTGCATAGCTAGACAAGTGAAGGCAGTGTGTGAACTCTGTCAAATCTCTCCCGTTGATAATGATTGGTGCTGGTTGTTGTTGTTGCTGCTGTTGGTTCTGGTGGTGGTAGTGGTGGTGGTGGTCGTTTACCTTCATCACCTCCGTCTTCTCTATGTTCACCTGGGCTCGTTTCTTTGCTGCCTGCCTGCCTGCCTGCTTCTTCATCCAGTTGGTTGCCAGTTTTCGCCAGTCTGCAAGCCTTCGACTTCCTTTGACATTAGACACATATCATCCACACGCGAAATCCACATCTTCTGGAGTCTTCTCATCGGCGGTCCAGCGTACTCTTCTCTCCTCGCTCCCAACTCGCAGTCTGACGCATACTCCAGTCTATCACAATTAGAAATATCATTGTGAGTGATAATAGGCAGGCAGGCAGGTAGCAGGCAGGCTGGTTGGTTGACTGGCTAGTTTGTCTTACTCCTGTATTCACTTCGAACGCCTCTCTGAGTCTCCCGTTGTGGATCACCTGACTAACACGTGGCAGGCATTGTCATATAGTCAGCTTCTGAATGAGGTTGACAAAGACTTGAGCACTGCACGCCACCGTAGTATTGAAGTAGTTTGCAAATTACTTCTCTGTCAACGCTGACTGTCGAAGGCCTTTTCTTAGTCGATGAAGGAAGTTGAGGTAGAGAGAGAGATAGGTCTGACTGTCACTCTATGCTTTGTTGTGTGATGACGATGAGTAGAGTTTGCATTTGATCAGCAGATGATTTGCCTTACGTAAGTTCAGCCAGCTCGTTGTGGTCGGTGGGTGGTGGAGTTTTGTGTCCAGTGCATCTTTTATTCCCTCCAGGATGACGCGACATAGTATTTTGCTTGGCGTGGACAAGAGCGCTATTCCACGCCAGTCAGTTCTTGCAGAGTGAGGCGTGAGTCGCCATTCTTTGTCAGCATGGCGAGGTAGCCAGCCTTTCTTCCAATCAGTAGTTACCTTTCCTTCATTTCAAACATTTTTCAGTAATGGAATGAGAACATCTGCGGTAATCTCTGGGGCCATCTCCTTCCTCCTTACTGCACCAAACTTCATGGCTCACTTTTTCGCATCCTATCTATCATGACTCCATGTTGTGCTGTATATGAGTTTATTTTTAAATTTATCACTTTATAAAGGCTTACTAGTCTAGATTTTGCTGCGCTTTTGTGCCTCACTAATCTAATTCACCTCGAACTACATCTCTGATCCATGTATTTTACCTCTCAATCAATGCAGGGTATTAGATAAACCAAATGTTTCTGTTTATGGCTGTACAGGATCCTTTAATGATATAAGTATAAAACTTGGGCACTGTGGTAGAGCATAACTCCATTAGAGATAAGATTTTATTTTGATAAGTCACACACTGTTACACAGTACTATCAATTGATGACGTTCCGAGCACAAATTATTGCTCATAATCATGTCAAGCTACTCATACAACTTTTTCCTTCATTTATATACGTGTGGAAGTGACCAGATATTTGAATTAAAATCAATACAGGATAATGTATATTCAGAAATAATAATACGAGTGTTATTGATCAATTACAATCATATGGGAAGTAAGACGATTGTTTTTATAGTCATAATAAGTAACTTGTTAGAATGTTGTGATGTGGTTGAAGTGAAATAGAATTTTGAGATTATTTATTATCCTCTTCTGATTTCACTGGCGGTAATAATATCATCCATATCTCTGATAAATGCATTGAGTCATTTCTGTTGCTTGTGTTGGGTGTAGACTCAATGAAGCAGGATTCAGTAATCAACCTCTCTCTCCACCTACATAGATTACTTCTTAGAATCGTATCCTAGCCACTTCGCGATTTGATGATATGGTGAGCTAACCATGTATATGACAGGTTGAAGTAAGACATTCCCCTTATGCACTTTAGGCAGTCCATACGGTCTTGGAATAGTTGAACTGTATGGTTTTATTTGCTTATCAACCTCCGGTGTCATGAGTGAATCTTCTATCATTCTCTTCAGCAATTGTGTAAGTAGGCTTTCTGTTCTTTCGGTTGTGTCTTTCTGGTTGGATGATTCGAAGAATTTGGTGTTGTCTCATAGTATATATGTCAATTTCTGATTATAATCGGATCTATTCATTACTACAATCCCATTGTCCTTATTTTCTTGAAATTGTTTAAATTGTCTTCTGTGTTCCTTGTTCAGTAGATAACGGTGGCTTGGTCGTGTACGAATGTATTTGTAACAGCTGTCAAGAATTGAAGCTTTGAATTGATCCAGATCTTTTTCAGAAGTAGATGACAAATCGGATGTCTGTGACATTAAATTTTCAAACTGCACTTTGGTTTGTAATTCGTTGATTTTACTCGATACATGGCTATCACTATCATATTAACACTTCACTAAACCTATTTTCCTTGACAATGGGGCGGAATGAAACAAAACCCAATAAACGGTTTAATTGTGAGGGTTTTGTGTAAACACTGTTGTTTAATTGCTGATCTTATTCCATATTAGTTTGTTTATTTCTATTATTTCTTTTATAAATGCGATATAATACTGGAAGCTTTCTTTCATAACATTCCAACTTACGATCAGTGAATTGGATTGTATCTACTGAAGTTTCACCTATCAAGCCAACTGAATATACGTGCAGTAGGAATGATTCAACATCTGTCCCCGGCCACCTAGAAAATAATACTACCCTCACGACAAATGGTAAGGAGGAAAGAGAACTATAAACGTTGAGTTTCGAAGTTGCACAGTTACAACTCATATGATTATGACGGATAAATTGTGTTTGATGCTTCATTCAGCTAATGATACTATTTCACTGCGTGATATATCCATTAAATTGAAGAAGTTTTTTTGTTATAATATTGACAACAAGATAACATCAAACTCACAGACAGGAAAAGAAGTAATTTTATTATAATGATATGGAAAACGAAAAAAACTAAGGAAGTGTGTGAAATTAGATGCATATTGGTTAAATAAATTAATGTCTATCAGGGAACTCTCACTGTGTACATCACAAGTGACTGAATATGCATTTCATGAAGTTCAGAATGCGTTAGCTGATTTATTAACGAGATAGAGTAAAATATAAATATATTAAATCTGGAGTAACCAGTTTAGGATCATCCATTCACCTTTCACACTGGTTCATGCTGTAAAGCTTATGTACTTATATTCCTTTTTACTTGCGCATTGAAAAATATTAATCTACCGCATTTAATCAGTTGATTGGAATCATTATCAGATGGTAGTCAGTCAAGAGAATTTTACAGATGACGAACAGTTGGATTCAATCGATATTTACTTATGTAATCTCAATTATTCGGACAATCCACATAGAAATGTGTTTCAGTTGTGAATTATAGTCTTGAAGATGAGATACTGAAAATAATCGTTAAATAACTACTTTAATCCTTTACAGACAAGAAATTTGTCATATTAAGTGCACCACTGATTGGGATGGTGACGAAATTCATCCTGGTGAAAATTTTTCGTAGTTTCTTGGTAACATATTTATCAAGGCAACAGAAGTCGAATTTTATAAGTAGATTTGCATACTAACTGTTTTCGGAAATGCAAATGCTGCTTGTTCAGTGTTTTATGAACTGTAGGTAATTTGGAAATTTTAGTGAAACGCTTGTGAAACTCCACAATTGTTTAAATCTTGATATTGACTGGAAGCAAAGAATTCAAACATTAGCTTATTAATTAACAATATAAGGCAACAACCTTGACAAAATTGCAGTTTTTTACTCACCTTACAAAAACGACACTGAGAACTAAGGGATACTCCCATCGCATAGGAGGTGAATGGATCCGAACATTTAGAGCAAACGTAACAGTTCAGCTGGGCTCCTAAAATTATTATGGTAAACAGAAGAAAACCATTAGTAACATGGGATACCTAGTTATAGTTGTTTTGTAAATCGCAGTTATCATCTCCATTACACATTTTCTACTCCAACAGTTCAGAAATATTATAAAGACACAAGCACGCTACTCATAAGTAGCTTAAAATAAAATTAAAAAATTACGGTGATGGAATCTTTGTGAACTCAGACAATTTGCGTCTACTGATGCTTCTGAGTTCATGTCATTGAAGCTATGTGATTTATTTTAAAAGTGATAAGATACAATTCTATTGAAATAGTGTTATATATGAGAACTATATTTTTTTATTCTGCTTCAGAAAGCTCATTGTACTCTAACTATACTATAAAAAATCAAAGACTTTGATCACTCCCCACGTCATACAGACATTTGTGTTAGAGTGACAAAAAATAGAAAGGTATTTAAGAGAACCAAGTTACGTAGTATTTAAGTTAATGTGTCTAAAGTTGGAGGATCCTTTTTTTAACTCTAATAAAACTGGGTTAATTCATCTGTTCAATGTAATTGTTGGGTTCATTGATATGGAACCCAAACCATATTAGTAGTCATATTCTGTTGATAAACAACCAGTCTCGCAAATGACAGATGCACTTCGGAAACCTTCCAAGAAATGAGAATTTCTTACCTCCACTTGCTGTCTTTGCACACAAAGGTGGAAATATTCAGCAAATTTTTCTACTGAAGTTTGTCTTCATTCTCCTAGATACTAATACAGAAAAGATGCTAAACTTTCATAAATGAAAATGCATATTCATGTGATGAGCTGAGTGTTTGTGCAGCTAATAAAAATTAACCTATGTAGTTAGACAGTCACACATACTACTAGGTAAAAAGATGCATGTCAATCCAACGTAACATAGTGAATGGGAGCCATGGAAATGCTTGGAAATACTTGCTAAGTAACATAATTTTGCTCAGCTATCTTTGATTGACTCCAAGGTGTTGACAAGCATGTAGATTCTCACTTGACTGCTAGTTATTATCTCTGTTGTATATAACAGTGGCGTGTGCGATTCAAAAAAAGTAGGTTTGAATTTAAATGAGTTTGCTTCACAAGTTATTGAGAATTTTTGTTTGGAGATATTGTACAAATAGATTATAGGGTTATGTAGCCATGTTTGCAAAGCTAGCTTTTATTGACTTTTTATCATATAAATATCCTATCTGACTAGTGGTTATGAATGAAGTTAACGTTAATTAGTTATTGTTTGTTTGCAGCTTTGTAATTCCTATGAATATGTTATTGAATGGCGACAAATATAGAGGATACTGAATAATTATTTAGATTTTCAAACGGATAATGTGACAAGAAAGCATGTCCCTAATCGGTTCTATGAATAACAGTTTTCGATGAGTCCAGTCATAACTGTTCACACAAAAAGATGTGATTCTATCTAACTGTTTTATACTGAAATTTCTTTGTTAAAAAGAATCCTTGTAGAACTATGATGAATGTTTTGAATACTGTAGCAACACATTTATTTATCATACTGTTTCACGTGGAATCGAAATAAAGTATAGGATAATGCTGACTTTTATATCACTGTCAAAAGTGAAGTGAAAACACTTCCTGCCCTATAAATGGCCATTTTTTCCCTTCTTTACTGTCATAAATGTTCCACTTTAACTTAACCCCTCCTTCTTTTCAAATCAAAATGCCTCTGAAGTAAATGTGCATTATTTCTTTCAGATGAGTTTCCGAACACAATTCAAGTACTTCAAAATTTAAATGATTGTTTGGTAAAATGATATTTTCATGATTTCTAATGGATTTATGATTTGGTAAACATTTCTGAATGACTACATTGACTTAAAATTAGGATTTAGTGCAAACTTAAACAACAGAAAGTCTACTTAAAGACTATACTAATTCGATTTAGGACAAATTCGTTTGATTATATAAATTTAACAGTAAATGAATTAGTTGATACGATTAAGGAATTAGGGAGAAAAAAACAAACACCAAAGACGTGTTAATTCAGATATCTGGTGTAAAATTCAACTATCCTTAATTATTAGATTACAACAAACAATTATAAATTCGTACTGAAAATGATTAGATGATAAACACATCTAGCGAACTGCCAATCTTCAAAAAAGACGAACTAATTTGCTAAGAAGTTAATTTGCTTTCGTTAACTCCCGAAAACATCGTAAATATTGGAGTTGTAGTGTGATAGCAGCTAAGACTGCTGAAGTATTTTGTTTCTTATTATTACTAAAAAAGAATAAACACAATGATTTAAACCTAGAAGTTATGCTTAGTGGCAGTGAAGTTCATCTGCATGGCTATATTTTTTGTAATGCTTGATCAGTAAAGAATTCTTTGCATTACTAGAAGTCTAAGTATAAGTCGTTCCTGAACAGCTTGATTGGAAGACTGACATTTTGAATTCAAAAATGCTCTTATTTTCAAGTTTTGGTACTGAGACAGTATTTATTAACATCACCCTACTGGGTGATGAAAGCTTCGCAAATTAACTATCCAGCTCAGAGAACACAGCTACATCAAAATCATCCACCTGAGCTACAAATCTTCTCTATCATATCCAATTCCATATTAGCTGATTCATTTGACTTATTAGAATGAAACAGTGTTATTTTACTGGATAACATTTTAGACAGAATTTGTTGTTCACGAACATAGGACGATAAATTAACTGCATGTAAAGTTATACACAGAAGTTATTCATGTAAGAAAACTGTTGTACATAGTTCCTAGTAAATTGAGTTTATTAAGAGCCATCTGTATAAGTCAAGTTTAGAGTGTGCTGTTCAAACTGTGCGTAGAACTTAATTATAGCTTCATCATAAGCTTTCAAATTCATAGATAAATAATTCATGAACAGTTTTTAGTCAAAAACACTTTTTGGGGGATTTTAAGGTTTAAATAATTTGTATTTATGTCCCTGACCCTAAATGAAAACAACCACAGTAAACAATTTTAATTTTCTGTTTTACATTTATATTAAATTAATCAGAGTTAACTAGAAACACTTAATTAACTAAATTAATAACAATGAACATTTGGGACTGTGAGTGTTGTTTAATGGAAATATGGTGCACTTGTTATCATTCTGAAGACAGAAACTCTTCACCATTTAACCTCTGAATTATTATTCAAAATGTTTATTTTATAACATATGTTTTACTAATAATAAAGAATAATTGTAACTAAGGTTATGGGTGCTTTTAGAATGAGATATTTATTAGGCTTTAGGACAAGTTGGTGTGAAAAGATAACAGGTTATATTTAAACTAGCTGTAAACTTAATATAATATCTGTTAATATTAAAACGTTTACTAAACAAAACACCACCGTTTCAATAATCAGATGATTCCATAACGCAGAGCCGACACTACTGTCTGTAGTATTTTGGTGTGCACTACTGATAAGATTTATGAGTAGTATGTAAAAAGGCGTCATCGGTTTAAAAATATCAAATAGTGGAGAGATGGATTTGGCGTCATAGATAGGAAATGAACCATGAATGCAGAAAAACATAGGAGACACGAAAAGAAGTCAAAGAAACACAATGCGAAGAGCAGAAGTAGCACAAAATGGGAGATCTATGCAAACGATGATTTGAAGGTAAGGTGTACATAATTACCCTATATAAAGATACAAAATTCCAGACAAACATTCTTTTACCACTTCTCTCATTTCCTACTGTTACAGTGTAAATAAAATTCACAAACTTTGAAGGTACTTTTTTCTGGTAAATAGCAGACAGACCTACGTACTTAGTAATGCATTTTGATCACGTATGTTCGTTTATCACACTTTTGTTAATTCTATAACCTGAGCAAAAGATATAACTCTTTGATCATTCATTTATGAAGTATATAATGAATGCATAATCATCGTTTTCTATCACTACGTTAAAGCAATTCTTATAAGTTTTCTTTCCACATTGAGGACTTCATGTTTCTATTTGATTGCCCTAGATACCATAAACACTTTTCACAATTGTCTTATTAGTACTGTAAGAAATTTTATATGAAATATTTCAAATTTACAAACATAACTTCATGCCTCATTATCTGCATGTATTATAAACAAGTAGTATTTGTGTTTGTTCTGTAAATAATTACCACTCTTCAAAGGTGGCGGACTTTAAAGAAGACATCAAACTTATGCATCTTGGCTTGCCTAATTTTAATCCAACACAGTCATTCAGTATGTTTTCGAATAATTGCTAAAACATTCTTCTCCTGAAGTAGATCCAAGAAGCGTAGACTATAAGTACAGAAGGAGAAAAGTAGTACACAATCAAACTAAGCCAAAACGCTGTGTTTTAAGCTGAGAAAGAATTCCTGAATTGAAATGTGATTCTAAATATCAAATTCATGAGCTATTCAAAATAATGCACTTTATAATTACTCTTTCAAAGGTTTACAGAATATTGTCGATAAAACTTTTCGCAGTCTTCTACGAGAACATAATCTTACCAAAACTGAAGTTTCAGAGGGCCTTCCATTTGATTATGTTATCACTTAGAATAGGAGTAGGTTGAAGCAACTCGAGTTAATTTCATCGAGGAAAATAGTAATAAAAGAATCACTCGAAAACAGGAAACACTAGACGTCTGTTTCATTCCTGACTGCGACTCTTCAACTACAGGTAACCAAAGCTCAAGCGGTTACCGAATCCAGGATCATAAAGTTACGCCTTGACAGCGTTGCCATCAATGAGGAGCCCAATAGCCAGTGAATCCTAACTTTTGTTGATTAGCTATATAAATCGTCACTCACCATCAACAACAAAATTCGGATTTTCAATACAAACGTCAAGTCAATTTTGCTTTACGGATCAGAAACTTGGCGAGTCACCAAGAATATTTTCAACAGGTTGCAGACCTTTATCAACAACTGTCTTCGCTCCATACAGAAGATTAGATGACCGGAAAGAATCACAAACAAGAAGCTATGGGAACGAACGAAACAGGAACCAATCGCCCAACAAATATGCTTGAGAAAGTGGAGATGGATTGGACACTCGCTGAGGAGGCCGTTGAGTGACATCGCGCGTCAGGCCCTCGAGTGGAACCCGAAAGGGAAGCGGCGAGTGGGACGTCCAAGGGTGACATGGAGGAGATCGTGTGAGGAGGAGATGAAACAGTATGGAATAACATGGACGCAAGTGAAAAGAACAGCAGAAGACAGAAGCAAGTGGAGACGTGCAGTTGAAGCCCTATGTTCCACTAGGAACCCAAGGGAACAATAATAATATAATAATAATATATAAATCGATGATAAGTAGAACTAGTGACTTATTAGATCTTGACGCACTGACTGAATACTGACGTGCTTATCTCATAACCTGATGGTCATAAAAGCTGTCAACTTACTGCTAAGTAGTCTCTTTGTTATCAGCATTTCAGTGACTGATTTACATCTGTGTGTGAAAAATGATTTTGAAAGCAATTAAACGGAACAGCTAAATATCATCTCGCGTCATTTTGTTTAAAACTGTCATTTACAACGCTGAAATATCCATACGACCTGCCTAAATCACTACTTTAGTTGTTTTACGTCCCTTTCAAACAAATATGAGTACCATATACAATGATATGATGATGACAAGATAATTTATGGCTGTAAAAGACAGGAAAATGTCTAAAAGCACGAAAAAAAACCGCAGTGTATGATAATAAAAGAATGTTGTGTCACAAAATTATGAAGTACGTTATCCATTCAATTATTGCTTGGATTTAAGCTATAAAACTTGTGATAAACTGCTGCTTTTTAAAGCTCAGAGAAGTAAGTCGCTCCTAGTTTAATTATTTTTCATTTAAAAACACAAAGTTATTCATCTAACTGATGGAATCTAGAATGATCAAGCCAGTTAATTTAATGTACCATAAGATCGTTAAGCAGACGTGTATAGGAAGTTGCTGTCACTATCTAGAATCCATTTATATGCTTTCGAATTACACATAAAATTTCCTCGAGCTATTTTTGTATTATGGTATATGGCTTTCGTAAGAAGTTTCAGGTGATTTTTTGACAAGCATTTATCCGAATAGTAGTTATATCAGATAATTAGAATTTTTATTGATATTTTTACTGTACAGTTTAACTTTAACCCACATGAAAGTCATAAAAGGTATGAACATAATAATGAAAACCAAAAATTTAAAAAAAGGTCACTATGTTTTATGGACAGGAATTTAGTATACCTCACTCATTGAATACTCAGCTAAACAAAAACTGGTGCCGTACAGTAAAGTAAACTGCTAGAATTCTAATAAAAATCAGTACATCAAAGATAATCAAGACATGCACTAACCGAATGGAATAAAAATGCATAAGTGTTACTGGTAGTGCTTTGGATAGTTAATGGCCATTTTGTTTCGAAGAAAAATTAACATCACGTTTTACCCGTCATGATCACACAGACTTTGAAATATCTGAAATAATTTGAATTATTTCTTTTTTAAAGCAATTTTCATCTCCGACAGTCAATAAACACTGAATACTTTATGAATTGCCTAGCGAAATTTCAAGGAATCTTGTTGATACTACGTGTATTTCAATTTTTGAGAAAAATGTTTCTCTTGAAGGTTATTAAAAAATCCACTTACACAGAACAAATTTTGCATGTTCCAGGCTATGAATCACACATATTTTATGAGGCGTGATAATATATTACTAAGTTGTTCAGGTTGAAATTGGTTCAGTGGGACTTGATTATGGGACCCGTTAGCTAGAGAAGTACAGTACCTATTTCAGTAAGCCACATTTTTCTCTTGAAAGTGCTCTCCTGAAATAATAATCGCACGACACTTTACACCCTGGTTAGGTTATGAATTCTGACAAACCGAGAAATCACTTTCATATTAAATTGATGCTTATTGAATGTACAAATGACAAAGTATATAACTGTGTTTATTTAAAATGGCCTAGTCATTGGCATTCCATCTTTTATCTGACATGAAGATTCTGTGTAAAAGTTCTACAAAAATGATTCACTCATATAATTACATTTGTATTTATCAATTTTTCGAGAAATAACCATATAGTATTAAAAATTGTATTCTATATATATATATATATATAAACTAACCACTTTGTCCAACAAATATGACTAATATAAGAATGACAGTAAACGTCATGAGTCTTTCTTGATCTATCATAATATATGAGTACAGAGGTTAATCTTTATCCTTTGAAGTTGGTTAAGACTTATTTTAGTGTTACTAAAATCCGGGATGGAAAGTATTTGGAAAGCAGATGTGTCAGATACATAAATAGTTGCGCATAAATATATATATATATGTATTTGTTTATTCGTCTGATGCTGGTTTATTGTGTTGCTAAGTTACATGGAAATAAATTATGATTCCCTAAATGCATGAACAACAGTTTACTCCAGGTATTTATTTTAATTTTAGGTTTGGCCAATACATCATATAAAGACTACCTTATTCACTTTTAGAAAAATAATAATAATATGTCTCTCAAATTCGAATATAATGAAATATTTACAATTCCGTTTATAGAAAGTGAATAGAATGTATTCATTGTAAACAAAAAAAAAGAAGTAGATTATTGATACCTATATTGGAAACTAAATAAATATCTGTTTCATTGATAGTAAACAGATGTTTATCTTCAATGATGACGATATATATAAATATAACTCTAACGATAGGTATATTGACAGAAAACTGATTGTTTATCCGAATACTCTAAAATAATATTCGCCTTATAAATTTATTCGCAACACACTAAATTTTCAAAATTTAACTATGTGACTTTTAAAGAATTTATTGATTTCTAGATATTTTTCAGTAAATATCACTGGAGAGAATAAAGGACGCACTGGATACAGAACTCCGACCAGAACAAGCTGGATTCAGGAAAGGCAAATCATGTTCTGACCAAATTGCAACTCGACGCATCATCATCACAGAACAAAGCATAGAATGGCAATCAAACCTCCACCTCAACTTCCTTCATTGACTGTGAGAAGGCCTTCGACAGCGTTGACCGCGAAGTAATTTGGAAACTACTCGAGTACTACGGCGTACCCCAAATATTCATCAACCTTGTTCAACAGCTGTACGACAACGGCACATGTCAAGTGATCCAAAACGGAGAACTCAGCGAGGCGTTTAGAGTAAACACAGGAGTCAGACAAGGGTGCTTATTATCACCAATGTTATTCCTAATTGTGGTGGACTGGATTATATATATATATATATATAATTTTATATTCTTTAACTATTCACTGAGTTTGTGATTTCGGTTTACATTAAACGACGTGAAATAGAATGTTCAAATACATATCTATCATTCTGTTGCTAGTGCACTACTGAACTGTGGGAACAGTATTCAAGCGTTAACATCAACAAATGCAATGATTCTTACTGTGAGAATAATATACCATCGTGACACATTGTCTGTATCACACCACCACAAAGTAAACTGCAGAGATAGTGACTCTTAAGAAGACAGTTGTTTAACAAGCAAGCTGATTTCAGCATTCACTGAGCCGTGGATCACAAGGTGGTTGACTTCCAATTTTAAAGGTAGGAAACAACAAATCGTTTTTAATGAGAGATGCTCTCCACTTCTTTGTTTAATGAGTCTGGTGTGTGTGCCTTAAGGTGCGGTACTTTCTCCACTTCTTTTTCCTTTCCTTTCGTATGACTCACCGTATTCTTTTAAAAGCGAATTCCATTAATAAATATGCTAACGATCTGTTAATTTTAATTTCACATGTGAACTGATTCAGTTCCATAATTTTCGTAATATTGGCGGCATTGTGATAGGAAATAAATTGAATGTTAACTATCCTGATACAAGTTTCCGCTTAAATCTTTGTTGATCGTCTCATATCATGTTGATTTCTAGGAAAGTCTTTTTGTGGATTTATTACACGACTTTCTGACATAACCCACCTTTTTTTCTTACAATTTATTGATTTTTATATTCTGACTGTTCTTATCTGTTATCCCCCCCTTGTGCTTTCCTGTGCTTCTCATAAAAGACTACGTCCTATGACGTATGGCATTGAAGGCTGTCAGCAGGGTTAGTGGTGTGCCTTTGACTTAGCTAACTGACATTGTTGTTGGTACGCATTTTAATTCCCTCAAGCGAATGGTTGAAGTCATCTTGTCCGATACTGAATATCCTCTATATTCACAACTTTCTCTTCGTATCTTTTCAGGCAATACTAGAAGAATTTTCACAAGAATTTATGCTCATACAGCAAAACATAAAAATTAAACCATGCCAAGTTTGTTTGGAGGATTCCATCATGAGCTGCTGTCAGTTAGGGAACCATTGGAAAACCACCTGGGAGTACTGGACAACTGTTTCCTCCTAGTGTTTGGGACTCTTCAGCAGTACGCATCCACCGGGGCTCAAACCCAGGACCATCTGGTTACAAGGCGAACTCGTAGACCATTAGGCCACTGGGACCCGATCCAATGTACCATGAATTCTAACTTCTGCCATACTGTATTTAGCAAGAGTTTTCTGTGAAGAGACAAATGTCAGGAAAGAGCTTGTAAACCTACCTCTCACTTTGTAAACAGCCAATCATAACCAGCACTCTTTATTCTACATGTCACTCTTCTGTTACATTTCAGTTTTTGCGGTTTCATTATTTTTGATACTTTAAGTATTCATTTATTTGTAAAAGAAGATAAATTGTTGCGATATGTACATAGTCTGGAATAAAGCGATCATGAATATTAATTTTATTATACATGATTTCAGTTATCATATAAAAAAGCCAAATGAATAAAGTGTGAATAATAAATAACATATAACGTTCTATAAGACAGACAACCTTCACTTTATGACAACTATAAAATAAACCTATATGAAACTAATAGCATTTAAAACACGCGGTTTCTGCTGTGATGATCAAATTAATTAAAAGGCATGAAAAAAAAATAATGGGATATGTCAAAAATACGCACCAATTTAATTTTCGATATTTCGCTTTAGTATAACCCGGGCGTCAACTATAAGGGTAATAGATAGACAAAGATAATAATTTAAACAGTACAGCTGTAGTCAAAAGTGCAGAGATCATATAAAATAGCAAGAACCTTTACTATAGACGTTTGGTATGAATTTGTTGATACTAGTGTCGTTAAATTCGAATTCTCATCGTATCACTATATCTAGCTATCGAATAAAGTTGTATTACAGAGTTCAGTAAACTAATCCCTTCTGTAAAAACCATTAAGTTGAATGCCTTATTTTTACTTCTGACTTGATACTTATTCACACGACTAACTTGTTTGTCTGCGAATTCGAACTGTACTTGCTTCGCTGTTTTTCCGACTGAAATTCTACTCAAGATATATAAGTACGTTTTCATGACTTGTCTATTATTTCATAATGCCTCAGTAGAAGAATTTTAAGATTTGGTAAAGCGGTTATAACAGAATATTTCAATCAATATTTTTTGCTGGGAAAAATAATGAGAATTTATATTTTTTATCAGAAAGAAATATCATCTGTTATTTGTTAATGTACATTGAAGTAAGTTAGTACACGCAAAGAGTAAACTAAGAAACATGGTTTTGTGAAAATGTTTTAATTCTTCCACTTCAAAAAGTATTATAATTCCAGAATAATAAGTACTGTAAATAAACTAACTTTAGTAAAATCTGATGATATCTGCACATCATACGGAGAGACAGCTGTTGTACTCAAATCCACTGGTTGAATGAAATTTCAATGATCTTTAGGAAGGAGAATGTCAGGATAAGTTTTCTGTAGACTTTTACATCTTCTCTTGAATCATGTCAGTGTATGGTCGGAACTAACGTCGTCATTAACCAGTGAATTAATAATCTTATTTACATTCAAAGAACTCTGAAGTTTTATTAGTACTTAAGGTGTGCTACACAAACATTCCATTCATAGAATTACTTCCGTTTCATTGAGAATTGAAGACCAGTTACTACAAATGTGAAAAAAAATACTAAATGGTCTATGTGTTATTAAAGAAAGCAAATGTCAAACAAAAACTCAAAACCGACGATTTAGTTTCCAAACAAGACTTCATTCCGTTGGTAAAAGGCATACTCTGAGTAGTGTACATAATAACAAAATTATGGGTAAGTTAAACTCAGAACAACTTGGTTTAATAGTCTTGTCAATATTGAGTAGCTGATAAAGATCACTCATATATTCCAAAAGTTGTTTCTTTCTTGAAATGAGAGTTTGGTAAACAGACTTTCAACCTCACTATATTCGTCAATGCAATTATATATATATATATTTATATATCTTCTGTCAGTAAATTGGGAAAAATTATTTTGCATTATTCACTCCAAGCATGATTTTTATTCTTCCAAAGTACTAGTAAAATATAATAAAAACACTTGAGTTGGTATGAAATGACGAACGACGAAATATTTGATAGAAAATAATGATATCAGATGTACTTCAACTTCCGTTAGTGAAGTATGGAAAGTAGCTAACGTTTATGTAAGTTGAAATGGAAGGTATGCATGAGACAAAAATTTATTTTTAGTCCAAGAAATATAAGTAAAAAGGCCAATTTTACAACAGTCAAGAAACTATAACACTTTTCTGAGTTATTTATATACAAAATTATTCACTTTATCTGCTTCGTTTCACTCCTATGTGGTTACTAAGTAACTAACTAACTAAGATATTTTAACTTTATAATGATAGGCATATTCACATATATTTCAATTCCTATATTTTCTGTGGTCTTAGGAAGTTGAAGCTGTTAGATCAACATGAAAGTAGGCCGAAAAGAATTGATGTACAAAAGAAAGTAACTATTAGTGACATATAGTGCGTCGGTGGCACAGCGGTTAGGACTCTCGTCGACCATGCACATGGTCCGGGGTTCGATCCCCTGCCGACGCACACCGGATATCAATTGTCGGCCTGCAAAATTTGGGCTACCAATATCACATGCTGAAAATTCCATACTTGTACCAAAAATACAGTATGGAGTCAAGCTATACAAAAATAAAAAATAAAATAAATGGACTGATAGTATCTCCCTCCCATTTTATGATTTATCTCCTACTGTTAACGACCTCAACATCATGATTATACTTTTAAGGAATCATTACAGTACACATCTGCAATCAAGGTTCTAAGAGGTCACTAGAATAAACATATGTGTGAATAAAACTAAATTAACATTTTGGCTTCTTCGGTATTCTGCTTGTTTTTCTAAAATACAAACTTATAAATTTGTTCACAATAAACAGTATATAGACCGCTTTGACTTGTTTAAAACTGAATTTAAAACTTCGCGATTTCTGTCAGCTAAGTACTGACTATTTTATAAAGCATTTCGTATATCTTTCAGTTGAAAGTAAA